CCGCACAGGATTAAAAAATAACATACTTAGTAGCCTATGTGTTCTACTGGACTATGTTCTATATAGCCGAACGGATCTTGATGAAATCCGTTCAGCCGTTCTGAGGATACCTTCAAACGAACATCGATCCATCTATCCATCTAAACATTCGCGTTTATATTATTAGTAAGATTACTCTTCAGAATCGTTCGACTTACAATAGTAAATTTTTTATCTAACTATAACTTTACTCCCATTCGACAAAATTTAATTAAAGATAAAATTTTCTTCAACTGTACCATTTACGTAAACCAAATATATCATTTAATTAACGAAAAGAAAACAAGGAAACATCTGCAAACTCCATAAAGTTTTTTCAAACTTAATTGTCGCTTGTTTCAAACAATCATTAAATGTGTCCCTTCTTGATGTAATTACTTTATGACGATATTGTCTGTTATAAAATTTTAAAGCGAATCATACAAGGGTTGTTCTATTGTCTTCTTATTAAATACACTCCAAAGACTTACAAGATGATGATTGCTTTTTTATGGACTTTTATCTTATTATTATTTTATTATATTTATTTAAATTTAATATACAATTTAATGTTTTACTCAAACTTACATCGAGAATGTATTTATTAGTTCGTCTGCCAAACAAAAAGATACAACAAAGTTCATTCAACTTTATTTACCAGTATAATACTTATGTATTCATATGTTATTATGTACATATAGAAGCGTTACCTAAACTGAACCTCCTATCAATTACTTAAAATAACATCAACCCTTCCAATAAAATATTTAGCTTTTCCAAACTCGGATAAACTGTTTTCAATGAATATTGATTTAATAATAACTCGACTCCTTATTATTTATTATTCCTTTGTGTCGGCACTTACTTAAAACAACTTGGTTTTTCGTAGCTGGATCGTAGCGCGGGCGTAGCGCCAACGTAGCGGCGATGACAATTAAAATGTTGTTAATGGTTAAAATAACAAATGTTACGAGTCCCCGGGGGATGTTTGATGGGGGTGCAATTCTGAGGGCAATGGGAAAACTACATTTGCGGAGATACAATTTAATTCGAAACCATTATTAATTGTCTGCGTTTTTGAAGACAAAGAGAAACTTTTTATTGTTAAGTGTTAATGTAATTATGCCCATGGTGATATTTTGTTTAATTTATTAGGATTATAATAATTAGTATATAAAAATTATCTTCTGCGTAAATGGTAATATGGTGTTATATTTTTATTTTTATGAATTCGTTGTGCATCATTCGTATTATCGATTGCTATCAATAGCGGACTTAAAAGGAAATTCCATTTATAAATTGTCTCATCAAATTTTGGTGTCAAATAAATAAATATTTTATAAAATAGTTTGCTTGATTATGATTTAGCACCGAACAAAATGCTTTAATACAATAATCTGACAAAACAAGCTTAATAGTTAAAAACTAAAAGCTTTAAATATGAACAATTTTTGTATCTTGTATCTTTTGAAAGTCATTTAACCGAAGCAAAAAGATATTAATGACTTTGTTTTGGTATTACAAAATAGATTTCTTTGTAATGCAATTGCCCTCTGAGTAAGCTATTTCTGTCGACACAGTAAGAAATGTGAATCAATCACATAGCAACAAAAGGATCTCCTGACTTGCATTTCGTACGCGAAGTGGATTGCCAAATTTTCGAAATAAATATTAATAATATCGAGTAAACAATAAAAGTTTACGAGCCAACGTTCGTAGAACACAATGGCCCGTTTCGTTGAACAAATTGCGATTATTGTGACCACAAATTTTTATTACATAGGATTAATATTTATGAATTTGTGTGTAAGTTAAACATAACATAAAATATAATATTAAATCATGATATTACATCTAGCCGGTGACTTTAAAGCCAATCTTAGTTAATCATATATAGTCTCTTTCAACTAAGTTTAGATTGGCAAAGTTAATTCAGCAGTAATATAGAATACATATGCCTTTATTTTTACATAAGGTAATAAATATTTCTATACTAAAAGTTAATGCCCCATAACATATTTGTATTTTAAACGATAAATAGGAAACATTTTTAACTAGTATTAATAAGAATAAACAACATTATATCTTATTTTGATTTCTTTTATTCTGGACCATGAATAACATTAGTAAATACATGGTTCCTCTATCGTTATACGTAGGGCGGATCCGGATGACGTCACGGCGGAAACAGCGCGCCGGAAGCGCACGATCTGTCGCGGGAGGCTTTTTCTAAGTTGCATTTCACTGTTTTGTTTGCGGAACTAAGAAAAGCTTCAGTAGATAAATGTAATATATTTATATAAGGTCTGTTTAGGATTAAGATAAATAAATACACAAAAATTCTATGCTTTTAAAATTACAACCTTTCTTTATTTCACTCGAGTACGTGAAGATTGTAATCAAACGACAACGCGGGTTTCCGACACCGAAATCTCTGTATTAAACATATCGTCATCTCTGTTTTTTGGCACTCGGAAACCCACATTACGTTAAACAATCAACATCAAGATACATGTTGTAAAAACCTTAAAAAGACGACATCTTAAGATGTTTAGTTAGATGAATGATATTAAAAAAAAATATCCGATACCAATCTAATAGTTAAACAAACGATCCGACTTAAGTACCGAAAATAAATCATAGCAAACCACTCCCCTCCCCCATGATTAAGGTCTGAGGGGTCCGCGAGCACGCCTCATTGACTCTAACATTACCATACAACCATAGCCATACATGTTACGATGACGTTTTATTTTATTCACATTTTTAGCAACGTGTATAACATAAAAGATTTTTCGTTCGATATTGTCTCCGTGTCATTGAACACATGAATTTATAAATTTTTTAACACAAAATCCTTGTTTATGATTATTTATGCTACATTTATTCTAAAGTTGTAAATAAATAGTTGAATGCATACATTATGTGCACCAAATGTAACGCATTAGTTTTATGAATAAAAACTTTAAAAATTACACGCTAAGAACAATAATTACCTTACTATAAATGCCAATTATAGTAAGGAAAGTATTTTAATTACTTAGTAGTCACTTGATTTTCTTAAACTATAGAATTTTTCTTTTCTAATGCAATTTAATTGAAAACATTCTCCAGCCATTCATTTTAATAATTAAATTAAAAATAAACGTATACGTCATTAGCTAAGTGTTAAGCTTGACTGTCACGAATTTAAACGCTCTTAAATTTCAATCAACTAACACGAGCTCAATGTCCCGTTAGGCCAAATGTCCACGCGGATTCCTTAGTGTAGATAACTCAATAAAATAACACATAAATACGAATCACCGCTAAAGGCAGTCGGGACGGCATTTAACGATGTACGCCTCACCGACTCTGGCTACAGTTAGATGGATTTTTATTGCCAAAGTCCACCCCAACATAAATATATTTTATATGTTTGTTTATTCAAAAGCTTTTATAAAACTATTTATAACTCTGTAAATGTTCGAAATTTATTTTGGATCTATAATATTAATATCATCGCTTATTTAAGCAACGAATGATATTTAAAAAGCTGTTAAATACGTTTGTCGTAAAAATACAGGAAAAAATATAAGCTTACTCGTAAAAAAATAATCTTTAGTTATACAGTCGATAATAATGTAACCATTTGGCTTGGAATATATGTGTGCTATGTAGTTGAAGATTAGGAATAAAAGCTAAGAAAAAACATTCAGCCGGCTTTTTCTTTGCGGCCAATGATTTAATAGTAATGATTAAATTATAATTGGCATTTTTTTTTGGAAATATAAAATACTTAAAGAAATGTATTCTGATTTCTATTAATGTTGTTCTATTTTGATTATTTCTCTTAGTTTATATAAGTTTCTTAATTTGTTTATATGTAGAGCTTAACTTTTTATTACTATTTTATTTCTATACAATATAACTAAGTTCGAGAGATGTGCGTTAATTGCAGAGAGCCGGATCTGATAAGATCGAATTTCGTTATCTGTCGGGAAGTGCAATAAAACTTAACAAGCTCAATGTAATTAACTCCGTAGTGTCGTATGGCGCGGTCAACGCAGGGGTCTGATTGCAACCCCTGGCCACACACACACACACACAGAGATTATCTATACTTTGTTGTTATAAGAAAAGTTTTTATTTGCTATTTTCTTATTTAACTACTTATACAATTTTTCCGTCGCCCTACACCGTCGGTAACTCAGAGGCTTAAAGCACTTGTAATCTGTAGGTCCTGCGTTTGAATCCAGTACCAATGTGTTTGATTATATATGTATATTTATTCGACGTTCTTATGGTGAAGGAAAATACCGTGAAGTGAACCAACCCGCACTGGGCCAACGTGGTCACTACTAACTTAGGGAAGGCTCTGAGTCTCCTCATCGGGACATATAGTGCGTTGATGATGATGATGACACCTTTTCTTCATTCTAAACATATCTTTCATCAAAAGATAATTGTAACCATAACATGTCAATACATATTTTTGCCAGCCCCATGCTCTGATATGCCAAAGCGTCACAAACAAATTTATTCACCTTATCTTGAGGTTGATACATAAATATGTATTAGGTTATTTCCATCGCTGTACAATCTCTATATTTCCACGAAGGTATAGGGGGTGTTCCCACTGAACCCCGACCAATCGTAGAGTGACGCAAACAGGTGGGCGAGGCGGCCATTTTGATTTGCCCTAGCTTTCACACAATGGTTGCACAAAATAAATTACTCTTAGAATTTTCCGGGGAAAATGTGATTTTCAATCCAAACTGTATATCTTCGTAAATATCCTTAGGAAGAGATATAAATACTTGCGTTTTTCCAGATTATTTTACCAAACATCAGCCGTAATAAAAACTTCTGAAAGATGGATTTTAAGTAGCAAGGATAGATTTGTATCCGAGTTTTAGGTATTGCTTAATTAGGAGCTAATAAAAGTCTTGTAATATAAATTATGATTTAATCACTTCAATAGAATAACGTTATCAAATAGCACAAAAACGTATGTAGAAGTATAATTTAAAATAACAAAGACAAAAACTGAAGCACAAAAGACATCAACGTAATGCAAAACAAAACGAACTCTACAAAAACTTGGTTGTGATAATTCCGATAATTTCATAATAACTAAGTACTCTAATCAGTATATTTATATCACTTATTCCTTATTACCTTCCGTGATATCACTACGTGGCAGCTAAAAGTATCATAGGAGTGAAGCTATGAGCAAATAATCGTACATATGAAAACAACATATATGAGATACCAGCATTGCACAATGATTCCCTACACACGCAAGCAATGAAGCGAGCGTAAAGAGAGATGCCTCGGGAAAGAGGCACAAGAGATGCGCCCGGACTAACAGTGCAGCCGTCTTTGACATCCTGGAATAAACAATATAAGACTATTAATAAGTGAATGCAATGACAACATACTTCTTGATTCTTTAGTACAAAAATGTTGAAAGGCAAAGAAAATTACACGGTTCCAAAAATGGACGACGGCCGCCCTTTGTACGAATAAATCGGTAATAACTTTGGCATTTACGAAAGTGTTGCTTATATGCGTAGTTGTAGTTTCTAACTCTTGTATCAAGTAACTATTTTTTCATTATCTACAATATGTATAATCAAAAATCAACTAACGTTGAGTACAAACTCGAGCCTGGCCATTCTGTGGCTGGCGAAGTGATGTCCTCTAGTTGGCCACTCTCGGTTCCTGCATGACCTCTGAGTGTACACGCCACTGATGTCTATCCTACGCATAGAGCAGCCTCCCGTCCATCGACCCCAAATCGATCGCTTGTCTCGTGTATGGACGCAGTAATTGTTTCTGAGAACATTGTATTTCCTTAACTTATTCTTACGGAATAATTAATAGCCTCCTTCTCCTTTGAAGTCAGTTAAAGATAAAGAGCTCTAGGCAACCGCAGTTGTACGAACTCAAATAAGTGTTAGGTTTTTTCCGAAATGTAGCATTCTAGATGCTGCGACTTGTTTGATATATCGAACACAGTATCTAGGCCTGCTTGTACTCAATATAAAATGCTGGCAAAACACCGATAAATTATGTTGTTTTAACGTATTTTTAAGAAATAAAAAGAAATCTATTTTTTCTTTTACTTTAAAAGTGTAACATAATCTTACGACGTTATTGTTTCGTTGTTAAAATTTGCTTTTGTAGGTTAAAGTGCTTTAAATGTAATAAATTAATTTATAATATAAACTAACGTATACTGATCGTAGCGGCAATATTTTATGAATTTGTAGGAATACTTCTTATATGTCCAGTCATCCCGATCAAAGGCGGTTTCACAAAGCGAGCTCATGGGGATTTGTGCCTCTTCCAGTCCGCACACGTAACACTGTTGAAAATTTTACAAACATTAGGTAAATATAATATTTATCTACTAAGATGATGTGCTGATACAAAGAAAAAGAATATAGTAATTAATGCCCTAATTAATCCATCGATAGAAAAATATTATACTAAACAACAAACAACGTCTAAGCACGTCAGAATAGCTAAAGAACCCGACACAATTTTCTTACTTTCCCATACAAAAAAATTCCAGCTTGATACCTTAACGCGTTTTTGAGAAAAAGGATCTTGACAGACTAAAGGACGGACAACAAAGTGCTCCTATAAGGGTTCCGTTTTTTCGTTTCGAGATACGGAACCCTAAAAACAATAGAAAACCATTCTAATAGCGATTAACTATTTATAGTTATTTTAAACAATTAATCTTTGGGGTAAAGATGGTGGTTTTTCATGTTATTTAAAAAAATACAAAGTTAACAATCACCATATTGACTAGAGTGCCTGTACGATTTCGTTCAAAGTATGGATATTGATATTTATATCTTGGAGATGTGCCGAAACTGATCGTATACGGACATAGTGGCGCTGTTGGAGTTGGCCTATTATTCCACGATCTTCGCATAGTCTGTGCTGTGTATTCATTAGTCAAATTATCTAACAAATTAAGAAGAGTCAATACATCAATCATATGTCTTTTCTCTTCGTTGTCTTGTTTAATTTCTTCAGTTGAAGAATCTTCTGTGATTTCATCTGTTGGTGTATCTGATGGATACTCGTAGATATATGTTTTTGTTGTTTTTAACATTTTCTGATTCTTAAATGATTTAATCAAGTCTATTATTAATGGAATCGTTGCTTCTCTTGTAATAAAAGTAGTGTCTATTTCGTTACTATACGTAGTATGTATTTCGTCATCTATTTCACCGAGTCTGTATTCACCGAGTCTAGATTTTGGAGTGCTGTTAGGTTTGTAATAATATTTTGTGTACATTGAACTATGTTTGTTCATGTTTGCTTTGAGATATAAAGCAACATCTTTACTGCATTCAGGATCGTCTGTTTCGATTATATTAGTATCATTTCTACGCGAACAACTTTTAGATTTGTATTTATCTCTTTCATGTTGTTTGTAGAATTCTCTGGATTCTTCATCAATTAATAGAATGTTAGGCAACAAATCGATAATTTCATCTTCAGTTATATTTCCTGCAATATATTTGTTAAGCGCATCTGAAATTAATTTTATTACATTAGAAGGTTTTACCGAAAAAAATATCTAAAAAAAAAAGCAATTACCTATTACGTGGTTATAAGAAAGGCAAAACAATCTTACTAATATTATAAATGCAAAAGTTTTTATGTGTGGATGGCTGTTGCATAGGTATAAGGCATAATAGTCTGGAAGAACACATAGGATACTAATTAAGTTTTTTATCTCGCATGGGCGGCGTCGCGGGCGACAGCCAGTATCGTTACAAATGTATATGTATCTATTAAATTACTTACCTTCAAATAAAAACTTTTGGTCCGCATTCATATTTTGCAAAGCCGATTGAAGTTCCGCGTACATTTTGAGTTTTCTGTCGTCACCTAAGACGTAAATTTAAAAAAAAATATTTCTTTAAATAAAAGTTTTAAGTAATCAATAGTTTAGCAATGCATATAGGACAAACATTTACTTTTATCCATATATAAATAGAAGAAGATATAAAAACTCTGAATTGTTATTTATATTCTCAAATCTTATATATAACATTCTTGTGCCACAATGTTAGTTACCATACTCTTAAGAAACGGCTTGGCCGATTTTTATGAAATTTTGTGAGCATATTGAGTAGGTCTGAGAATGGGCCAACATCTATTATTAATCCCGCGCGGACGGAGTCGCGGACAACAGCTAGTCTTATATATAACATTCATGTGCCACGAAGTTAGTTACCATACTCTTCAGAAACCGATTTTTATGAATTTTTTTATGCATATTAAATAGGTCCGAGAATCGGCTACTATCTATTTTTTATTCCCCGCGGACGACAGCTAGTTATAAATAGATTTTGATCTCAAATATATTGTTTTAGCAAATATTTCCGGAGTTTTTTCTTAAATATAACTTAATTATTGTATTATAAATATAATTTAACCATTGTCTCGTGATATTTCATTCACTTGATCATCGTTTATAACATTGTCTTCAATTTCATACGTTTGGTATTTTTCAGTCGCAGTTTGAAAATGTTTCGAAACATTTTCAATGATTTTGATACTTGAAAATACACAGAGAATTTTGAAGAGAAACATTTAGGTAACAATTAATTTACAGTTCAATTATAAAAAGGCCAAATACTTGGTTACCTATACTTATAATTTAATCATAGTGAATTCATAACAAAGAACTGTCACAATCTAGTTGATTTAAAGTTTTTTTTTAATGTCACTCCAATTACATACAAACCTTCTTGTACTTATTATGTTAAAGAGTTTTTAATCAAAAAATATACCAGTAAACTTTAACCGTTACTTTCCATATCTGAAACATCGTTGTTTTTATGTTATTTTTAACAAAAAACACAGTTATGTATCAACTTTTGTAAATAACATTCCGTAAATTACAATTCCTCTTTCAACTCCCGAGTAAAATAGAAAAACTACTTTATTTTTCAGGTTTAGGGCACATAATGCAAAATAATAAATTTGAGTGTTCGCTGGCGCCACCCAGACAAGGGTCCATCGACAAAATATTACATGTTCACGTAAAATCATTCGAAAATAAACTTTAGGGTCTGTAATTACAGTCAAATTTCAAATGCGAGTAAGGAAAACCGGAGCTCAAAACGCATTACTGGGCCCGGAAAAGTCAATACCGTTCCTTTGATAAGATCTCAAACTGATTTAAACCTTATGTAATTGTTATAAAGTACAATATTCTATCAAACTATGTCGTTGTTTAGAGCCTTTCGTTTGTGAATGAAGGAAAAGCTTTGGCGCCAGACAGACCGGCGCCATCTTGCCGCATTTTCCTTTTCTAAAAACGTCCGCACAAGCGAAGACATTTGTCTGCGAAGCCTACTTCCGCGTTCGCCCTATTACACGCTTTAATTTATAGGCCGTTCCCGCCTCTTAACGTTAGAATTTTATCCACTTAATGTAATTTATCTTCTAATACTTTATTTTGGGACTGACAACTTGGAAAGATTTAATTTGTTTTTCGAAATCCATTTTGTCGTTGGTATTTTATGTGATATATTTTCATAGGGTTATCTATTACGTCCCAGACTTGACTACTCGGACTTTTTAGTTCTAACTAGATATTTATTTATGTTATAGAATTTGTTTGAATGCCGAATTAGCGAGCAACCTGAGCATATTTTAAACCAGAAAAACAGCTTACTAAATATGTTATATAAGACATATAAGTAAATAACTGGTTATAAATATTTTGATCTATTGCAATACTAAGAGTAAATAAACTCCGCGTTTCTTCTATCGTAAAAAAAATAAGAATCTGAAAGGCAAATACTTTTACTATATGTTGCCGGTAGATAGGATTTTCCGAGAACCAGGATACTCTGAGAATCGCTTTTGCTGATGCGAGCTTCGAATTATTTTTACATTTAATTTACTCATTTAATCTAATTCGGCTAATATAAAGGAACGTAGTTATTTCAAAGCATACGCTCTAAAACGTAGGGAATGATTTCTATTTTTCTAATTTATGTTATATTTATGTCTTTCCTCTTGTATTACAGTTACACGAAGAATCGGACAAAAGTCAGTCTAGCAAAAAGAAACGAAGACTAAAACATAATTTTTAAGATTATTATTAACCATATTATTGCAATAATAGAAGGATAACAAAATAAAACCATGAACAAAAAACTTTTAATTGGAAAAGATAAGGTCTATTCAAAAGAAAGAAAAGATAAGGTCTTTTAGTACCTTCCCCTATTCTCTGTTATGTATTAATTTTTGCTTTATTATAAGTTTTCACATTTGTAACAATTACGATTTAATAAAGGTCGGATGAATGTGCATTAACTATGCTAACGCGATCTTTCGACCACATTACTTTTTAACATCAGGGGGGATTGTGGTCAAGCGCTAATTTCTAAGTACTTGTTGACGCCCACGACTACGTCCGCACGTAATTAAATAAAATAATTAGTAGCCTATGTGTTCTTTCGGGCCATGTTCTACATCTATGCTGAATTTGAGTGAGATCGCATTCATTCAAACAATCGCATTGATAATATTTAGTAATATAAAACAGTCTACCACAGCCATTGTTTTTTTAAACGGTAAGCTGATTTTTACATTTCAGTGCCATCTCGTGTTTAATAGTAGTTATTAGCAAGGAAAAAGTAAAGCTCACTTGATAAATCCCAACAGATGGCACTAATTTGTAATATGCATAAGAAAAGAAAATGTCAAAATCATCAAGGATATCTGAACCTGAAGGCGCTTCCATCGGTCTTGGTTCTATTAGAATACATATAAAACCTATTTAGACATAGAAAAAGGACATTAAAGGAAAAAATTACATAAAAGTTGCAGTACGAAAAGGATTTTGTGACATTTTTGACGTAACAGGGAGGCGCTAGTGAGCCGTCCAAATTTAGTTTGACTTTCCACCGGTTCAGATACCCATATCGATCTCTACTTTAATTTTGAACTCAAGACGTTATTATTCTAATTCTTTGTTTTCATATTCTGGGTATAAAATAAAACACATTACATATAAAAGCAGTTTATTTAATGTAATAAAAATAACATCACAACGAGATATAACTTTGTTTTATCGCTTTTACTTCGCAGGTCAAAAATACAACACATCTGGTATAATCTCTCCTATTTGGTTCATCTCACAATTAAGTCTCCAGCAAACAATATTGAATCATATGATTGCATTGTTAACGCATTGCATTTAAACAGAACATATTTAACAGCAAAAACTAGTACATATACGATAAATTCAATTTATACATACATTTTAATACTTTTTTAATACTAAAAAACCAAGTGTCATATTAAAACGATAAAAATGAACGTAAGACAGCAAAATTCATTGCGAGTTTTTTATCAATATACTCTTGTAAACCTAAGGGCAAGCACAAAATTATATGCAAGTTATCCGTCAGTATTATTTGGAATAGGTTCATGTATTTTCATATTAGCCTAAACAAGAATATCAATATCTTGGTTTGAGGATGCTTCAATATTCTTCTTTATTATATAGCTATCAAATGTGTGCAAAGAAATAAATTTAATATTTTTCACAATATAGAAAGAATTATTATATTTCTGGTCAGAATAATATCCTAATAAATATAAATTTTAGTATGTAACTGCTGGAGACTTCTTTCACATTTCACAGTAACTTTAAATTATATTAAAAGAAAAAAAAACTTACGCTAAAAATTCTCACTAGTCTAATATTTCAAAATAATATATCAAAATGTAAACCAGAAATATGTTCTAAAAACTTTTTACTTAAATTTTATTTATATATTGTTAACATTTATTTATGTTTTATTTTACAAATATATTGCATTTCAAATACATATGTTAAAATATTTTTTTTAACAATTAAGACTATTAAATAATAAATGTGCGAATTACATACAAAATGATAAAACTAATAAAATCTTTTCATAAAACATTAGGCCTAATTCCAAATATTTAATTTTCTATTTTTTAAAGACTATGTACTTTATATGTGAAATAATTTCATGAAATGTGCACAAAATTGTTATATTTAAAAAAAATCATCGTAGTTAAGAATTGAAACTGTTAGTAATTTTTATTTGGCACAATTTTGATTTTATTTTGTTATAAAACGAAGTTTAAAATATATTGCATTGAAATGTTTATTGTTTAAACATATTTCTCGTACTCATTAAAATAATATATAATCAAAATGTACATAATGATTCATCTAAGTTCTTATATAATATTTCAGTATATACAAAAAATTGCAAGCATATAGTTTCCAAATATACATATTACTGTAATACATACAACTTTATACATAAAATTATTGCAACCATATCTTAAATAAAATTCTACCAATATTTTTGTATGAATGTTTCGGCAGTCATACAAATATCATACAAACTTTTTATACTATTATTATAAGGAAGAAAGATTTGATTTGTTTGCATTGAATAGACGCCGAAACTACTAATTTGTTATTCGCCGGTATATTCTGATTGAGATCGCGTATTAAAAAATTTGTTCTCATAAAAGATTTAAGATTTTTTTTCTTAAAATAAAACTCAAATTTTTTAACAATATTACATTTTTTTCTCATTCCATTTCAAATTGTTATTAGGTCTCAAAAAATGCTCGAAGAAAATTGGTTTACGTTAATTTATTATTACTGATTTGGATCGCCCAAAGAAAAAAATCAAACATATGGGAGAGTCAATATAATAGCGCAAAAAAAAAAAGTTTTTTTTAATTTGATTTTAATTCACCATCAGATAGCATTGTATTAGAAGATTTTAAGCAATTAAATAATTTGCTTCAAGTTAAAAACAAAATAAAAATAGCTACCACATATTACTTTCATAGGTATTAAAAAAGTGCCATAGATGTCGCTAAAATTAAAAGTTTTGTAAACATGCCAGTTATTGTAATTTGAACGTTATTACCTTTGCATTAATGTTCATGTCCCATTGTGAGTATGACGGGGAGCATCGCGCCGATGGCGAGGATGAGAACTTCGCAGAGCTGTAGACCGCCGTAGCCTTTCTTTGGAGGTACGCCATCTTGCATGGGCAGGAGTGTATGTGTGTGCGCATGCGTGTGTGTCAGCTCCGGCAACACGTGCACAGTCGCTACATACAGGAATGTACCCGCTGAGAATAACATCGCTATACCTGGAAAAATAAGTTTAAATAACTAATATTATAAATACGAATGTTTGGATAGATTTTTGTTAGAGGCTCTCACTAAAACGGCTGGATGAATATCGCCGAAATTTGACATAGATGTAGAACATATGCTGGAAGAAGGCATAAGCTATTTTTTTATTTCGCTCGGACACACTCGCGGTCCACACAAATTTATATATATAATTAATAAAATTGGAGTATATGTATGTATTATAACAAAAAAACATGATTTATTCACGTTAATTGAAATGAAAATCTATCTTTTATTTAATTTTTGTCTGTCTCTTTGCCTGTAATTATTTGCCTTGGCATTTCAACGCATATCGGAGTCCGTTATTAATTTGTAAATATTCATCACTTACCTGTAGCATTAAAATCATTCAACGTCTGCTTGCTCTCGTTACCAATACCAAAGTATGTGAGCAACGCCAGCAGCGGAGCTGAACAGGAAAAGATCAGCAAATGCTTACGTATCCGATTCCTGGAAACAAGAAAAAAAAGGGTAAAGATAAAAGGTAAAGGTGACGTCACACATTCTTGCCTGTATGATATGCACACTAAACTATGAAATACTCAGTCCTCACAATTTGACTTGGCACGCCAGGAACATGAGTACTCTTATGCTGACGTACCAACTACTAGGGTGAATAAATAGTAAGCGGCCCCGAACCTGTATATTAATTAAAAAAAAACAAAGCTTACCTCTCAAGTCCCGCGTGCATAAGGAATGTGACGAGTCCGAAGGCGGCAGGTGCCTTGTGCAGCATAATGGCCAGGAATACGATAAGTTCCACGTCCGCATGTGACGTGGTAGCAGCCGCGCCCAACGCTATGCCGTCAGCTGAAAATGTTACCACTTGATTTGACACGTCAGGTATAAGATTACTTTACTACCCGACGTGACAACTGAATATCGTACCCAGCATTTACTTAGTACTTCTGTGCCTAAGTTGGCGTATAAAATATTTGTCACCTTAAAGATATAGCCATGTAAATCAGCTCTGAATCGATTCAAAAGTTTAACTCACATAAACTTGAATCGTTGAGCTACGGCAACTAAATAAGCAGCTTACAACTCATCGCAACGTACTCAGTGAGCCGATGAGCCGCAAGCTGCCAGGTGAATCACAGCAGCATCACAGGTGCGAGCCGTGACCTGATCTGCAGATCACCAATTTTAGTTGACTCATAACTAAAGATGTATTTTGCTTGCAGTAAGAACATTGACATACCCTAACAATTAACTTTTAAGCGATATCTAATAATCTGGTCGCATTATTTGAACCTTTTTACTTATATTGTTTAGTAAACTTGATCGTCAAGTGAATATCAAGATATAACGATAAGTGAACTTGTATATAGTCACGCGCGGGTCGCTATCGACATTGCTTTATCGTATCGACTAATTGCTGTAATGGACGTTGCACAAACTTCTACGTTAGTTATGTCAACATGCCGATAAAACTTGCTTAAGTTATGAAATAATCATTTTTACTTCTAAAGGATCGTCAAAATACAATGAATTAACAAAAGTCCTTTATGATGTTATATAATTTGAATAAGTCTATAAACATTGGCTTTTTAGACCCTTTTCCACTAAGGGACTAGCTCTGATATCTTTCTATATGGCAGTTGAGGCCATGAGAGTGAAATTGCGATACGAGACTTGTATCCAGATGACATCGTGCGGCTATTCCCTTAGTGGAAAAAGCGGCTAAAATAAACACTTACCAGCGGCATGGACAACCAATCCAACTGTTGCTGTAATGTTCTTTTCAGTCGGATTTGTGGTGTCATTATATCGTGAAGACAGCTGGTCGACCAACAGCATAAAAACGAAACCTATTAAAAGAAAATTATTAGTTATAAATATTTTTAGATATCTTGGCGGCTCTTAACTACGAGCTTATTTCTTTTAAACTAAATATGGGTGCATTGTATTATTTTGGCATTTTTAAGCAGGAAGGTAGACTGACTAAAAACCTCGTTAGTTTGTTACTGGTGCGTTTGACTCGGTTGGTCGCACTGCTTAGGGTTAGGAACTGTTTCCAGAGTTTTGCATTATAATAGTCTGTGGTTTAAAAAGTTAGTTGTGAATTATAAATTAGGCACATCTTGTGCGAGGAACGGATCAACATTGCTCATAAATAGAAGTCTTGACATTGAGGTATTAACTCAATTGGGATTTGATAAACCGGAGCCTATAATCAGCGAATGGAGTATTGAGATGTTAAGTCATATTCATTTATATTGTTTAAATTTTCTCTTACCTAAAACTAATGATATGCCAATAACAGAATGCAAGTCGCTATGTGTGGCAGGCTCTGGTGTGTAATCCTTAGTGACAAGTGCAACTCTCTCGGAGAACAGCGCCCGCACTCCCTCTGGAATTATAACTGCTAGTGCTGTACCCACTAATAATCCTGCACCAAAAACTGTCACTTTTTGTAGCTTGTCCTGGAAAAAATTATAACAATTTTACTAATATAATTAACTTTAAATTAATGTTTCAGCTTCATACTTTACATACACAAGTCTTATTTCTTATTAATTAAAAGTCTAATCACAGTTTCAGTTATTTTGATACAATTTATATTTGAAAACAATGTTTAAAAATATAATTGAAATAAAGTTACCCGCCTCTAATGGATTTAGCAATCCAATGAAAGTCTATGTGAGACACATACAGAATAATAAACATTTTCCTTAATATTTTATCTCATGGGATTTCCTGCTTGATTATGCAAACAGTTTTTTATTTTATATTTTTGCACAACAAGTTTATTCTGTATAAGATTGTAAATCTATAACAGAAACTGCAATATCATTAAACCATGCGTGACGAACGAAATTGTTTGTAATAATATCGAAAATATGGTACTAGTAAACTGTTAGATCAGTCGCATTAATTACCAAAATAATTGCACTAAAGTAAGTGCTAAATAGTATGTTTTTTTACGTGACTTACCTCTGACATGCTAACATTAAGTGGAATACTTCCAGCAACATAAGAACCCACCAACATCACCAAAACAAGCAAAACTAAAACCACTGTCTCATCCATCTTATTGCAAAATTGTGTTACAAATTTTTACTAATATAAATGCTAACAGGTAATTTTTTAGTTGTAATGTACTAATTAAATGTTAATAAACCACTTATAATTCATGATTTATCCTTCCATTATATATCTAAAAGTAATAAACAACATTTGTAAGACCTTTCGTACTCGCAACACAATTTTGATGGAAAGGCAATTGAAAGTGACAGTTGACAAGTGACAACACGACACGATAATAAAATAATAAATAGTGATGTGCTGTGATCGTTTTTATTATTCAGGTTATACGTTCCGTTTCAAGTACCTATTGTTTTAGTAGGAATAGTATAATTATTATTGGAATAGTAAAATATCATTGCTGGTTGTAGTCATATCGGAGGTGTGATGCGAAAATTAATCTGTGATAGCTTTGTTACAACTTTTATATTTAGCACATAATCCTGATAGCAAAATGTACACATAATGTTGTTCATAATTATATTAATTTAAAATTTTAATGACATATAGGTAATGAAAGCTGACCTGACCAGGCTACAAAGGTGAAAATGTGTTTAGTAAACGTTTCTTCATATTTAACCAATGTTTTCGTGTAATATTTAAATTTGAACCTACAGTCTTCATTTTGTGTTCATTAGTCAAAACAACCCTACCACAAATATGTTCAATACCTGGTAGACGGAAATATTGCTAAACAATTATTGTAGTCTAATCATTTAATTTCTCGGGTTCGTAGTTACATTTTTATGGTAGAAATAAATTTTTTCAATATAATATACTTCAAAAAATTGAAGTCGAAACTTGAGGTAGGTAATAAAAAACAACAAACACGCTTGTTATGTTGGCAAAATATTTTATCTTACAATATTTATAATTTATAACTACGGTTTACTTATTAACATTTCCATTTATTTTATTTTTTAAGATACCTAATACCGGGCACAAAAATGAGGCAAAAAAGCCCTCCTCCTGGTTGCTTTTGCTGTCAATTAATTAGAGTAAATTTTCTCAGTGTTGTCACATTTATAATACAAAATAAAATTTCAAAAATTATTTTAAGATCATTTAAGAATTGTCAAAAAGTCAAAAGGGTGCTTGATGCAAATGTTTACCAGTACCCATTACCCCTCAGTATAATGAACAATTACTCAAATTGGAGAAATTATAATGTTTAAAAATTAAAAGTAAAATGAAACAAATTAAAACCCGGTACATATTTATCAAAACAATATTATGTTGTATAATTATTAATTAATGTTTTAAAATGTCTCGATTAAGCCCTCCAATACGCCTCACTTCTGCTCCGTCTTGATGTATAAGTCTATGATTTTGACTAAATAACTAAATACAGAACCACGATGTTTATTTTAATAACCTAAAAGAAAATTCGTACTAATAAATATCCTAAATAAAGAACAAGGCATAGTGTCCCCAGTTTCAGAAGCTGGTGCATGTAGTATAATCTGCAACAAAAATAATATAATTTACAATAATAGTAAGATATTAAAAAATAAATATTAATGTAATAACCGTAAACATTGTGTTTCACTGTCTTCATGTAAAAAACGTTCCATTGACTATGGTATATAAAAGTATGCTCTCATTGGCAATCATTACTTTACATTTGTCTCGTTACGATGCACAGATATTGTTATATATAAAAAAATCCTAACATGTATGTACTTAGGTAGCCTTTCCAAATATTTTGTTACTGTTAAGAAATAATTACCTGTTCCACTTTTTCCTTGCTTCAGGTAAAGTTGAGACGTCGTCTTTTACTAGATAAACTCGAAGTCCTGAAACAATAATATTAGGTATATTGTATTTTACTTCATACTAATATTATAAATGCGAAAGTTTTGATGGATGGATATTGTGAAATTTGGCATGGATGTAGAACATAGTATGTAAAAACACATAGACTACTAATTATTTTTTTAACTTCTCTATATACGGAGTCACGGGCAACATCTTGTATACTAATAATTAACTAAAAAAAGGAATTAGGCTGACGCTAAAAATTTCGGCCATTTGTCGACTGCTCCCTTAGTCAAAAGAACACTTACCTAGTAAAAATGTCTCAGTCATATAATCCCAGGACATATCCCCCATGCTGAAGGGGAAAACGACTCTATCAGATGGGGAGAGGGAGCGCCACATGTTTCGTACGTTGTCGTCACTGAAGCGCCAATCTTGCATCGAGAAGTAGAACAATATGTTGGCCATCTTCATCACTCTCTTGTACAATTTTAACATTCTGCAATAGACAATGTTTAATATTAGTAAACAAAATATTAGTCTCTTTTTGTTAGGAATTTGGAATGACCGCTAAAGAAATTTATATAATTTAATAGTTTCTAAGGAGACATGGAAAATTGAAAAAAATATCTGACATTTTAAGTTTGGATATTTGTTAGAAGATATCTCCATCACGGCTGAACGGATCTCGTTGAAATTTGGCATGGATGTAGAAGATAATCTGGAAGAAAACATAGACTACTATTTTTTTTATCCCACGCAGACGGAATCGCGGTCGACAGCTAGTTATAAGGTAAAATATAGCTTACACTCTCCGCCGAAATGTCAGTAAACTATAGAAGTCCAGAAACAGCGCCGGGAGATAATGCAAGAAGAAATTGTAGAACAGAAACATGTAGTAGTTACTTGTAAGATTCAATCCGTAGTACCTGAAATTATACAAAAAATCAAACAAATCTTATATTTAATCTTTATATTAATATTATTTTATTTATAAATAGAGATATATTTATAGATAGAGTAGGGAGGGTAGGTACTTGATTCATATTATTTTTATTACTTACGATTTAATCAAACGTAAGACATTTAAAAATAAATAAGCCCTGATAATCTGGGACAGAATTAATCCTTGTTACTTCTTACCAAACAGCTTGCATAGTCGGTTTGTCCATCCCATATTTCCGATTCATTTCAATAAAACTCTTCCATCTTATTGGATTCTGCGCTCCTGATACGTAATTATAAATCGGTATGTCGGAAGTTTGACTGTAACATGAAATATGCATTTTGTTATTGTTAGTGTTAGGAAGAAAATCCGACACTGTGCCGGTGTACTGGCGCAACACTAGCCTTAATAGACTTTACTATTAAAACATGTTAGTCTACGGTCAAAAGCTAGTCAAGTCAAACGATATATGGGTTAACTAACGCAGTGTACTTATTTACAATTGCTTGCTACTATTACCGCTATTATTTTAATACTCTTTAAACATTTTATAGCTTACTTTTCTTTAAAATGTTTAGCCGTGTTGCAAGCAGATGCTAGTATTGCGTTGACTGTCATATCAACGGGTACCATATCTGCTACTTTGTTCATGTCCATATACATTGTACGTAGGACCTGTAACATATTGTCATCTCGTGTTATTTCAAAGAGAATGATAAGGACGAAATACACTTCTGATTATATCAGCAGTGGGGTAAACACTTTGTTACTTACCCCAGTACCTATGCCAATTATAATACCCGTCGGTCCATAAATGCTATCTGTCCACCCACGCACCGGTTCTTCATAAGTTGATATAACTGTAAACAAAAATCATATTCTGTTATCATCATCATGTTACATCTGTCAGCCATCATATCAATTCACTCCTATCTTTCATAATACCACACAATCTATCCATACTTTCTTTGAACTTTCAGTAGCATTGGCACATTCATTCTCATTACTATCTTGTTCAATCCCATGTCTTCGAACTACATGACCACGATATACATACGTACAGTCAACTGCATAAATGTATACATTTACAAAGCTTCTATACGCTTGTCAAAAATATGTAGACATACATCCATCCGTATGCTACTGATCATGCTACATGCATACATGACCATAAATACATACTACTGAAGAATACGTACGTATTTTAAAAAAAATGCGTGCACAAGTGTGTTATGTATTTAAATGTGTATATATTTATGCAGGTGACTGTACTCGTCAAGACTAGGCGCCATCATTCAGTAACCTGTCAGGGACTGTAAAGACTAATTGCAGGAACTTACTTATAGACGGTCGGACAATGCATATCGGCATTCCCTCGCCGTATTTTCGTACCGCTTCCTCAGCTACTGCCTTCGTAAAACAATACGTATTCGGGTATTTGCCTAGAAGTCTGAAAAAAACCCATATTTTATTGTTAAGATTTAACATCTTTAAGTTCTATAAACCGCATTATGGTGCCTTGATGAGCGACATTGTTTTTTGTTCGACCATCACGGGCGCCATAGCAATTTGTATCATTGCGGATAGAGAAAGGATAATTAAGCCCCTTCATTGGATGAAAAATTCTGCTTGGATAAGGTATTTTGCATATTAAACGCACTATTGTTTAGTAAGTAAATAATTATGACGATCTTACGTGGGTAAAATTTTTTCAATTAATCCTTCGTCCAATTGAGAGACCGCTTCTAACGCCTCCACCGTCATTGGGGGGTCGTAGAACCTAAATAAAAACGTTTAGGTTAATTATAGAAAATAAACAAAGTCTTAAAAAAAGATAAAACCATCTACAAAAATAATTAAATTAACTCACTTTTCCTCTATATGTTTGAGGTATGTGTTGGAGAAAGCAGTAGACACGTGTGTAATCGCCATTAGATTCCGACATTCTTTTCCAAGTTTGAGCACCTCTTTAGTTCCTTTGACGTTGATACCGGTGGATACAGACAGTTTTTCGTCAAACTTTACGGTGGCCGCCGCATTTATTATTATAGAAACCTGTTAAGTGTAAACATAAATATGAAACTATCTATTGTGACATCTTATCGCGTAAAAAGGTAGGACAGTTGTTTAAAAATTCTGATCACCAAACCTACCCTGGAAGTAAGCATCTTCCTATCTTCATCAGAAATTCCAAGACCAGGTAATTCCATGTCTCCGATGACTGGAACCAATTTATGTATACCTTTCGGATTTTCTTCATGAGCACGATGAAATAGCTGAAATAAAGGAAACGATGCCTTAATTTCAAAGACATTTTGATTGCGCCATCTATTGTCGAAAAGATTAATGTTTTGTATTATAGGATTGACGCCAAACTTTAATTACACCATAAGTATAAAATAATTTAGGTATACATGTATGACAACGCCATCTATTGACAAGTATAAAAATGTTCAATTTGTTTTGTACTCACAAAATCGTCGAGAAGCGTATGCAGACGGGTTACAGCATCTTTGCCCTTTTTCGCTCTAATCAATACATAAATTGTGTCTACATCTTTACATGAACGTAGCAATTTTTCTATTAAAACTGTAACAAACAAATCATTGGCAGAACTATGCATGCGACTGAATATGCTTTTTCTATTTCTTAGCATTATAATGAAACATATACTAATAGTGCTGTTAAAGGCTGTAAATCTGTATTCCAAATATCATCCAGATCCGTTCAGACATCATAGAGTTACGTGATACCAAACATTCATCCATCCATCCAAATTTTAGTGTTATTGATTACTAAGACGTAAGATTAAAAAAATATAGGACAAAATGTATATTATATATATATCTATAAAAATCGTGAACCAAAAAGAAATGATTCCGGCCAGGATCGAACTGGCGGCCTTCTGCGTGTAAAGCAGATGTGATAACCACTACACCACGGAACCCGTTGGATGCCCGAAGAAATGTTGATTCTGTTTCAAGAAATAAATAAAAATATTTAAATCTGCGCTTTGAAAGCTTACGTTTAACTTAAATACGTTGTATTCCCTCCTTTTTTTGTTTTACTTACTTAAATATTATCTTCATATAATCATATCACTAGCAGTTCTGTCGTAATTAAAATACTTTATTTATTTAATCAAAGTTTTCCTCAAAATATATTAACACACTCATAAAAACATTACAAAAAAGTTATTGACAAATGTAATTTTAATATAATAACCACAGCTTCCTTAAATCATAAAGATTCATGTTTGTGTGTCAGAACGGTAGGATTATAATTTTTCATTAAAATGTTACTCATAAAAATTCTATGATATACGTAAGTCAAATGATGTTATATGACAGTTAAAATGTCTAGGCTTATTATTATACTTTATTTACTCAGCCAATTGTTCGAGTGACGGAGAATACATTATGACGAGACAAAAAAAGATATCGATTTCTAAGTTCTTTCAGACCAAAAAACTAAATTCAAAACGTAAAAACTATAATTAATATACGTCAAACGAAGCTCTGGTTCTTAAATTACTTCCAATGAAAATATGTCTTATAATTATTACTTAATTTAAATAATAATATTTCTGCGTTTCTTTCGTATATTTACAAATTTTTCGTTAGGTTATACCTTATCTACTAACTTTACATTTTAATATTAATGTAATAATAGTAATAAAAGTTAGTACATAAGGTATATAGGTACATATAACCTAAGGTATTACAATGCAATTAATTTATAGAAGGTTACAACTAATAAAAAAATCTCGTTTGATCAGTATGTAAAAATATAATGATAATTCAAACGTCTGTTCATTCAAAAAAAGTGGTCTGAAATTAAATTAATTTTTATTCATCACTTATGTTTTTGTCCTTTATGTGTTCGATTTAATATACTGCAAAAAGTTTTGTTATATTGTTTAAAATGATCTTGCGTAGTATACTGCTTAATATTTTTTGTTATTGGTTTATATAATAAAAACAAACGAATAAGTTCATAAATAATTTATTAAACTATATTATGTAACAAAAAACACCGCTAGAATATAACATTTAATAAAACACAATTAAAGGATCACCTTCTCGACGACACGACTGGCCTTTAGACTCATTCTTCCATCTGAAAAAAAAAAGTTGAAATGTCATTTCACAAGCATTTTTAAACTCTGATAATTTTTTTTTATAGCTTTCAAAATATGTGCATAGGATCTACACTGTAGGCGACTTTACAGCGCTTTCTTTACAACATACTAAGGAGAAGCGAATTAAAAAACTCGGAAAGAGAAGTGATATGGAATATGGGAAAGGAATAGATTATGGTCTCATTTTTATCAGTTTTAGTTCTACTGGCGCCTTTATCGAGATTTCTGCTGCGCTTTCATAGCCCTCTTGTACAACGCTCTAGGCGTTCGCCTAAAAGCGCCCTATCCTAACACCGGCACTGTATTTGCAAAAAAGTGTCTTGACAAACAAACAGACGAACAACAAAGTGATCCTATAAGGCTTTCGTTTTTTTCCTCTAAGGTACGGAACCCTAAAAATGAACATATTATTTATATATCCAAATGTTATTTAAGAAAAAAAAACTACAGTATTACCATAGTTACATAAATCAAGTAATAAGTCGTGCGGTCAATATACATTGAGAGAAGAGAAGAGAAGAAGAAGAGAGAGAAGAGCTGGCAGCTACCTCGGTCAAAGAATTAGTTTAGCTGTACAGAGGGGGAACGCTGCCAGTATCTTCGGGACCTTGCCTAAAGGGACTCCTTTTAATAACATATACATTTTTATTATATAGGCGGTATATAAATAAATATGTAAATATTTAGAAGGAATTCTAAGATCGATAATAATTGAAATGGTTTATCGTCTTTTATAGAAATAGCTAGAATTAATTAGAAAAGATCTTATAAGGACTCCGGTGACGTTTCTGTCATGGATGTGAACATAAAAAGTATTGAACGACTTTACAAGGGCATCGCTGGCCGATGATCGAGGACGGGGAGGGGGGAGCTAGAAGATTTATTTTTATTACAAAAAGAAAGCTTATGAACATGTTTGTGGTCTAGTTTTTAAAGTAGATTTTTAAATGCGATTACAACAATTGTATGAATTAAAAAAAAAAAAACGTTGTACTTACCATAAATTCCATTCCATTCCAAAGCACAGAAATAAAAAACACCCAAACATAAAAAACACCATTAACAACACCACGTAAAACACATGCATTACATAACTTTGGGTTTCCATTGATGAAACAACTGTACAAGAAACATTGTTATCTCTCTTTTTCTCATATATGATATATTTTTTATCTCTTTTATGTACAAATGTATCGGCAGTGGAAATCCACGATAATATAAGTAAGCAATTAATGTAACTTAGTTTATAAAGAGAAACAAATTCGCTTACGAATATTATAAAAAACAAGGCAAACTCAAACAAAAATTAAAACAAGGAATGTAAATGTAGAGCGGTTTCTTGTTTCGTTTGAAGAATTTAAAACAAGTTTAACTCGCAAGGTTGATGTCTGAGGTCGATGAAATTAAAAATACAAACACACACAATACACAAAAACTCAACAATTGCAGTAACTGCAACTATTACAATTGAATAGCACACAACTTATAGCAAACACAAACACAAAAAAATGTCACACACGCTAGCACGGGGTGCTAGTTGTTTCAGTTCCAACGGAATCAGAGAATAATTATTTAAAAAATTACAAACTGACTCTACCTTTAACTAACCCTACGTAAGATGTTATGTGGTAAATCTCAAGTCTTCCTATATTAGGTTAAAGCTTCTAAACAGTAGATAAACAGAAATTAAAATATCCGAGATTAAAGCTAAACTGATTCTGGACTTAATAGCATATTTAGATCATTTTTTTAAAAATAAAACTTTTATCGTGTTTAGGCTTGGTCTATCTACAAATTACATTTTTATATACGTAATAGATTTATGGATATTATTTTTGAAATGTTTATTTTTTTATGTAGGCGTAAAAATAGTAAAAAAGCAAAACAAAAGCGAACTCACCTTTACCCAAAAATCCAGTACCACCAGTCAAAAACACACACTGATCTTTATAAAAGCTTTGTATATCGGTCATCGCCGCTTTACCCTTTGTCAGTTTCCTCTTCTCTTCTTCTAGCGCATCCGCTCTGTCTTCCTCTGCGTAGTAATCATCCAGTTTGTTTGCGGAAACAAACTCATGATCCTCGGAATAGTTTAGGATCGGAGCGCTAGGATTCATCGCTTCATTGTCCAAGGCAGCGTTGCGAACTGAATTTTCCAATTCCTGTAGACATATGTTTTTTTTTCTTAAAATTTTTTTATATCATAAGGTGGCAAACGAGCGAGCGGCGAAGTGACCGATGCCCATAGACATACGCAATTGCATATGTGTTGCCTACCTTTAATCGACGGAGGAGATAATACACAGAAAGAAAATATTTTCCCTTTTCATGCAAAAATAACTGTGCTAATATTAGCTATATTTATATCTATTTCATCTGAAGTAATCAAATCTAATATAATCTAATTTAGTTTGTTATGTTGTGTTTTTGTTGGCGACGGAGCCTTTTTTGTGCTTACATAAAAATAAAAATAAATTTCGATTTGATCTAATCTGTTGGGTTCAGCTTATAATCTTCTAAATCTATCAAATTGCAACAATAAAATCAATACCTTTTCTTTCTTTATTCGTACAATAACAATACGTCCAAATTTTTCAATACCCATATTTAAAATCACAGAACAAGAAGTAGAATGTTTGATTTTGCTTAAGATGAGATAATGAGCATACGACCGTCTTATTTATCTTGTTAGACTCTACTCGACAAATGATCTTGTTTCACTTAGCAATGGAACCTTTGTGATGTCAATTATTTTTTAATTATACTTATTGCGTGCAACCTCGGGTTTTCTGCAAGGTTTTGCTAAATAATATTTCCTTAACGTAAAAGAGGAAGTGAGGCTTAATTATTACTTTTTCGCAATAAGTGAATAAGTATCATATTGCATTTACCTTAATGTAAAAATATATACATAAACTTATTATTGAATTACTTAACTATATATTAATTATTAAGTGACTAATTAAATTAAAATTAATCTTTGGTAGATTAATTTTAATTTAATTAGTCACTAAATAGAATAATACTAGAAACTATATACTAAAACTAAACCAAACTAAATAATATAAAAAATCGACCCCAAATCGCTGCGGTCGCACGGTAGGATGATATTAAAAACTTATAATTAGTATTTAGATTCTACAAAATATGTTTGGCATTAAAACAGAGCCTTTGATTTCAACGTTTTCCGTACAAACGAAACTCAAAACTGAATATGTCGTTAAAACCTGTATATTTAATTATATTACTAAATCTTGCTCTTGTTTCATTTCTTCAAGATTTTGTGATAGACAAGCATACCAAATAACACTTTCTTACTGGGCCGTGATACTTGTATTAACATTTTATCGTCTCTTTGTTTTTGATTAAACAGAGTCAACAATATGATGTCATTTTTTGAAGCGTCAATAGCCTAATGGTTAAGGGTACGGATTTCCGACCACGAGGTCGGGGGTTCGAATCCCGCCATTCGACTATTGTCGTTAACCATATCCTAGCACAAGCCTAGAGCTTAATTGGAATGGTTAAAGAAATATTAGTAAATTAACAAAAAAATCTGCTAAAATTTACGTATCTACCAAATTATATATCGATGGTTTCACTGCATTATAAGTATTAACTTACTTGTAAATTGTTTTGTAACTCCTTGCTAATGTTTCTGACATTCTCCAACTCCTTTATCTGTTGGTCTGTGGGTTTTCCATACAAGTCAATCTCGACCTTCTCCCCCTTAGCTTGCGCCGTGGACCATTTTTCCAATTTCTCACGCGTCCCCGCAGTACCCATCAGTAAGGAATCTTCCAAAGAGCCGCTATTCATTATTCTGGAAAATACAATGCAATTATGTTATTATTGTTTAGTAATTTTTAGGAAGAAAATCCGACACTTCGCCGGTTTACCGGCGCAACAGTAGCCTTATTAAAATGTCAACGTTTATGTCCCCTCACTAATCAATTTGACTTAGTAACCAAATCGCGTTTCGCGCCAAAGGATTCCAACTAATAATATTTGAAATAATATAGCTTATGTCACCCGGAGATATTGTTTCTTCCTGACTGTAAAGGATTTTTTGAATCGATTTAGTAGTTTCAAAAGTTATATAATAAAAAAAAGTTTAGTTACAAAAAAAATCCCTAATCAGGAAACTTGATCATTTTACAGTTATTTTTTATTCTTACCAATTAATATTAACACTAAATTACATATTTTTTATTAATTATTTATTTAAATGACTATTATTACCAATGTTACATCAAAGGTGCACTAATTTTAATATTTCACAGGAGAATATGAATTCTCAGATAAGAAAACGCAAAGTTGTAAAAATAATATTAGCAATATTTCTTGTAGAAAAAACAGCGACCGATTGCGATGCGATAAAGAGACTAATAAAACTTTGAACAATTGAAGTGCCAATGATCGAGGACGCCATTGTCATTGTGTGTGGTCCACAATGGACACACAAGGTTTATTTTACTAATATTACAAATGCGAAAGTTTGGATGGATGTATGGATGTACCACGTAAATTCTGAATACCTAAACGAATCTGTATGAGCTAACGAATGGTAGCTTAACTCAGTTTTTTTAACTAACGCGAGGTCTAATTCGCGAACAAGTTATTTAAAAAAAAGTATTAATAAGGTATATATTAAGTAGTCTTAACGAAATCCGTCCAATATAATTATAAAAGACGTTGCTAATGTTAGTCATACTTCTTAATAAAATACAAAACAAAAAAGACTTCAAATAAAACTCATAAAAACATTATATTCACGACGTACATCACAATTCCGTTAAAGCCAAGGAAGGCTTCCTGTATATCAAAATTTTCATGCAGATATCTTTGAAAACTAAGGTTTAATGACATTCCAATCTCTTGAGAATGCACTTTAAAAAAAAAATGGTTTGGTTATGTCGAAGATCTGAGGTAACAGACTAAAAATACAAGCGAATTTCGAACCTCATCTTTTTTTGAATGAATAAATAAAATACGTGTTGTTAAATTAAATGTTCATCCTCATAATAAATATGTAAATTTACATTTTGTAAGTTCCACCTTTTTGAATAAGTATAAAGAAAAAAATCAAAAGATTTTTTAATTTTACTTTTTGTCGCTAACGTCGTACAAAGGCTATTTGAAATGTTACATATCATGATATGAACTTAAAATAAAAGCTCCAGTTTTCGTCATTATAATCTTCCTTAGCGACATAAACGACATTTCCACGACATTCTGTCCTAACGATACACATGTGTATGTCACCAACAGTTCATGAACTTCGTCAATTTGTGATTGGACTGGGCGTTTTATAAATTATCAGTTGCGATGTTAACGTAGCATTTAGAACTTGACATATCGTATCAAAAACAAATAACTAATCTATTATTTTATTTAAATGTACTTTTAATATTTTTTTAATGTAAGTACCGTATTTATGACATAAACAGTAGAAAAGGATTACAATATGTATATTCTACGTTTACTTTGATATTTCAAAAACGTGATATATTTGGTGAAAGTTTAATGAATAGTCCGTTTATAAACAGACCAAGTTCGCTATGGGTCGGTGACATGAATGTTCTCCTAACATTGAAATATATGAAGATACAAGGTTGATAGCTAGTACTGTACAAGTAGATGACCTCATGTCCAGTTTTCACAACTCATTTGACCATATTTGCTATCATTTAAATCTATTTGATCAACTTCTGTTTACGATTATCTCGACTTCTAACATTACGAATTACTCGTAATAACGTATTATTCTAAAATATACAATTAAAAAAAATTGAAGTGTATGTGTAATGTCCAAAAAATCATATTACATGTACGGTATGATGTATTTGAAATCTAAAACGAAAAATTAATTTTTAAAATTTGTTTCTATCTAACTATCTGTCCGGTATCTGTTCCGGGCTATCACCGAAACGTTTTATTGATTTTGAAGGATCTATTACAGGTACCTAATGTGTGCGGACAGTTTAATAAGTACTTATTTTTATATTATTGCGCTGATGAAGTCACGGGCGAATGCTAGTTTACCTATACTTCGCTGACGAGAAATATATTAAGACCTTACCAACATATTAAGAAATTAAGTATTTTCGAATAAATTGTATCCCATACATAGTATTTTATTCATTTTATATTTTAACTTTATAATATTTAGTAACATATTAAAAGATAATTTTGATTATTAAAATAAAATTGGCTAATATTTAGCATCGTATCACATTTATGGCTACTCGCATGTTCTATAACTAAGATTGATTAAAGTCTGCTACCACCTTTACTTTTAAATAAACAGTCGAAAACGCAAAACTAAGAACTCTATCGTTTGACTCAAAGTTCAAATTTGCATACACAAGTGTATAGTACGAATATTTTGTTCAAACTGAAGGTGGACAGAGCGGACTTTACTCGATTTAAATTGTATTAACATTTATTACCAAGGATTTTACTATTTGAATAATATTAATGGCCAATTTATTAACCTTGCACTGTAAACAGTTTTATGGACTTCAAGTAAAAAACATAGATATATTACCACTAGATGTACCGTTTCTTTCAAGTTTGACGTAAGTAAGGCAATTTTCGAAATGTCAAAATTGTGCGTGACATAAATGTATGACAGTATAATGAAAATTTTTCCCCAATTCGGGAAAATGTAGTGTAAAAAAATTAAGCAAAACGTTTATTACCTAAAACCGAACAAATTTTCATATAAACATCGATCGTAACACTGGATTTCTACTGTAGGATCACTTGTATAAAATCAAAAATAAAGTCATCCCTCTCTTTTGTTTTGTAAAAGAAAAAAACAACGATATGTTTTTTTACAAATGTTATGACAGCGGGATAAGAAATCGATTAAAATGTCACGGAATACGATAAGTAAACGGATTCGAAAAATGAACAAGTAAGTACAATCATTTCTCCAAGGTCATTTACTTATACTTTGCCAGATTGGGATTGCCTTCGTGCTACATGTTTTTCCGGAACAAAATTCCAAACTTTTAATGTTCTCATTAGCTTTAGTCTGCGGCTCCGTTCGCGCAGAATTAAAAAAAACTTAGTAGACTATGTGTTCTTCAAATTATATTCTATATCAATGGCAAATTTCATCAAGATTCGTAGTGCTGTTCTGGAGATATAGCTTCAAACAAATATCCAATCATCGAAACATTCGCATTTATTAGTAAGATTAAGTACGAAAGTAAGATATATCGTACACGTGGACTTTGTACGCATAATATGAATTAATGTAAATTAAAATTTAATCATCTGGCAAGTTATACAGCTCCTAGTTTGATAGACGAACTCTTCGGTTTAGTATTAGTTTATGTTTAAAAATGTTGAACTAAACATAAAAAAGTATTATTTGTTTATCTTACTATTATATAATATTATAAATGAGAATGTTTCGATGGATGGATGTTTGTTTGAAGGTATTTCTAGAACAGATGAACGGGTCTCGATGAAAATTTGATTTCATATAGATCATATTCTGAAAGAACACATAGGCTACTAATTATATATTTTTTTAATTCCGCGCAGATGGAATGGCGGGCGTCGGCTTGTTTTTTATAAATTGACAACTATCATTCTAATAAAAGCAACTTCTATATGTTGTATTTAATGCTGTTATTTGCACGCTCTTGATCGCAAACAAACTTTCGGCTCAAAGCTTGTTTTATGTTTACTCTGTATTTTTTCTAATATGCAAATGTCCTTCTGGTGTTTTATTATAATGTGCAAACGAGTTCAACACTGAAGGTTATACTCAACAAGGAAATATTTTTAATAAGTTTAGTTTTTAAAATTAAAATAATACCGTGATTGCAAACGAAAACAAAGTTATAGGAACTTTTAATCAATCAATTTCCAAGCAGTGCCTTTTAGGCGTGCCAACAAGGCACAAATTATTTCGCCAGTGTCGCGTCGAAGGGATTGATCGGTGACAGAGGAAATTTTAAAAATATATAATCACGATAAATACACTATGTCAAATAATATAATATATGTCATTATATCTTTAAGTGTCAATAAACAAATTATTGTTTATGAAATAACGTCAAGAGGTTAGAAATTAATTTAATTGATTCCAAAGTAATAAAGTGGAGTTAATTTACATTTATAATAATAATACCGGTCGCCTGCGGTTCTGTCGGCGCGGAATTAAAAAAAAATTAGTAGCATATGTGTTCATCCAGACTATGTTCTATACTGTTCTGAAGTTACCTTCAAAGATCCATCCATTCATCCATCTATCCATCTATCTAAACATTAACATTTATAATATTAGTAAGATTTTAATAACACAACTACCTAACACGTACTAAACAATTAATTATTACCAAAAGTACCACTTCCGGAAGATAATTTGGTCTGTATTGAAATTATTCTTCAAAATTAAAAATTATTAGATCACTACTGATTTTCCGTGATACGTCTTTAGGTAACATTAAAATATACTTTTAAATAATTGCTACTTCAAGGCGAAGTAATTGAACGATAAAAAAGAGAATTCCTAGTTACGTATTACCAACATGAGTAGCGTAAGCTCTCCTAAAGGTCAAGGAATATTTTTGTATAAGGAAATTAAAGTACACATCTTTTTAACATTTAAATTTCGTGACGTGCATTTGTTTATTTAATTTAGATTTTTAATTAAAAAAAAACTTTACTCTTAAACTTTTTATTACAAAGTGATTATTCAATACAACTGTGGCTCTTTGCCTAGTCCTTTTTTCTATAGTCAAAAGGTTTATAAGACGCCTATGTTGTTTTGTTTGGATGGAAATTTACATCAATAATAATGTACTATAAAAACAGGTCATAAGTTTTAAATGTAATTACAACCAGACAGGTATATTTAGTGATTGTAGTGACGTGAAACACGTCACATGTTGACAGGTAATTTAATTACGTTGTTGCCATTATTGTGGGTTTTGGGGTGGAATTTCAATTATTGTCAAACTAGTGGTTACCTATTTGTTGAAACTCGAGCTTAGCTTATTAAAGAAACAATTTGGCTTTAAAAAAACAATTGGATAAAAGCAAATATGCTTAATATTTGCTTTTATACCTCTGCATTAATTAGCAATAACATTTTTTTGATAGTTTTGTTGCAAAATAGCTTAATGCACTTCTAAAACTTTATGCACAACTTCTAAAAGGGGTACGAAGAGTACGCTATTTATTGTTATTAATACTATAGTCTATTGAATAAATAAAAGAAAATAAGCCACAAAAATGCAGCCACAATAGAAATTTTAATACGGATATACATTGAATTTATTCTGAACGAGGAAGAATTTTTTCCCCCGATAAACAAAAGTTAAGAAATACCCATACGTTACTTTACAATACCTTTCAATCGAACGACAATAAATGCTAAAAATGAATCACAACGTAGGAATATTCCTTCATGAACTGGTTCATTGGCGTACGTATACGAAAAATGTAAAAAAAAAATAAGAAGTATAATTTGGACCCAGAACCAGTTCATGTCGTTTGTTGTTCAGAAAGAGGTTTTATAGAGGTGGTTATGACAGTTTTTTTTTAATCTGAAGATTATGGACATACCTAGGGCTATCATGAATATTTGTGAGAACGTTTTCGTAAGGTTAACGACAAAGTTTTCTACAGCGCCGCTACCGGGCGTCCGGGCGTAAAGTATACCAACAAATCTCACGCAAATCATCGTGATAGACCATGTGCATCTTCACAATTTGCACAATTCCCTGTTGCATGCTACGTAAAAATATGGATATATACTAAAAACAGTGTGCTATATATAGTATTTTGTGACAACCTCGATTCTATCGTCATCGACAAAATTTGTGCAGCGCCTCTATCGGATGTAAAGTACACCAAAAATCTCATACTAATTTTGTCATTATTGACAATAACGGTACGAAAGGGCTTGTAGGAAATTGACGTGTTAGCCCAACAGTTGACAGATACACCTAATAACAGTTACGCGAAGGAAAATGCCACGTAAATTATATATACTCTAACTAAGACTTAAAATCAAGTATACAAATCAATTTTATCGTATTTATAGCCGATTGCAAGGCTAGCAATATCTGCTAATTACATTATTAAAGTTGTTACTTACAATAAAACTAAGTAAATAATAACCTCAAGTTAAAATAAATATAACTTAGTAATAACTACTTGGCACTTTTATGGTTAGCTATTATAAATCAAGGGGCGTTAAGACTGGTTTGAAAATCAAGTCTTTTTTTCAATTAACCATTTAATCGTTGTCCTTGCTAATGAAAAATTTCCATGGGAATACCGGACTTTTAATTTTTTTATAGCTTAACCTAAAGATAAGAAGAAAGTGTAACCGTACAAGTTAAAGAAAAAAAATCAAAAACTTGATTAAAAATATTTAATCTACAAGTGGAAAAAGAAATTTAAAACTCTGTTTTCTTATTAGTTTTTATAATAATTCTTCCATTTTTTTATTATGCATCCATTGCGACGGAAGTTAAAGTTAACTTCCGGTCTAATTAGTACCGCCGGAGGCAACTAAGATTTATCTTAACCGGAACAAGATGTCTTTCTTTTGTGTATAATTAATCTGGTACAGTATAACCTTTAATTTAAAAAAAAAACGATTGATTTAGGCTCTAATAGATAACACCATCAATGAAACCGTCAATGAGGTAAAAAAATTACGTTATTGTCTGTCGCGAAAATAAATTCCTATTCCACTAAACAATTCCAAACTCTTATAGTAAGATTTACCTGCTCACTCAGAATCGTTTATTGAGCATTAAGGGAGACTCGACTTTATGTACATTTGACATACTAATCTAAACTAGCTATCTGAGGGAGACCAGTCTCAAAATATTAAATCAAATCGCGGACATTGAGGATAACAAACAGATCGAACAAAAAACAGTGATTATCCAATTATTAGAACTATGACTACGAAAGTTGATTAGAAAATATATATTTTCCCATTTATTACTGTTTGATATTTAAACTTTGTAAAACTGTCTATTACGTCTTTTTTTTTAATTTTCTAAAAAAAAAGTAAAACACCAAACCTATTATACTTGACATTTTATAAATTCTTTAACTACCATATATTATTTATATTGTTTACTTACGTATTCTGTTATTATTACTATTTTCTTGAAATTAACACAGATATAATAAGCGATTATATGCACATATAACTAGCGACCGTTTCTTCCCACGACGGAACGTTGACTGTCCACAGTAAAAATAATTAAAGCAAGTCGAAGGCAGGTTGGAACAATAAAGCAGCACAATACAAGTCAAAGGTTTACGATACAAAGGGCAAACTTTTAAATTTCAGCATTTTTTTTTGACACCTTTCATATTTATTATCTAGTTAATATTAACATACAGTTTTATTTCAGGACATTGTTGGAATTCATAATCAAAAAATAAAAAGATAAATTAGGTAACCCAGAGTAGGTAGGCGTGAATGATATTTAATACATAACTCTATTTGTCACGTTCCTGACATCTCTCTCTTCTTCTTCTACTTTCATACATCTCCGCATTGTTCATGCACTTCGGTTTCGGGTGCTCTTAATACAGTCCTTCTTGATTATTTTATCAATCAATGATAATAATTTATGATGATGTTCTAATTTTCTTCTATCTTACTAAAATTATAAATGCGAATTCTTAGATGAATGAATGGATATTTGTATGGAGTTATCTCCAGAACGGTTGCATGGATCTCGCTGAAATTCGGCATAGATGTAGAACATAGGAAAAACACATAGCCTACTAATTAAGGATTTTATTCAAAATCCTCGCGTACGGAGATTCGGGCAACAGCTAGTAATCTTGTCAACACTGTCGGTTTTCGTGACCTCTGTTTAGCTATGTTCTAAGCCGCGAAACGCACTTAACTATCTTGCATCTCGTTTACCCCCTAAATCAAGAATGAAATTGAGTGAACGAATCATATTTAGGTAGATATCGTTACACGACAGAGAAAGAAGATCCACATGGTGTTGAGCAAAAGGGACACAATCAATTTACAATATTACAACTGTATAAAATACAGGTAATTAACATTTATCTGTAACGTTTCAAATATACATGTTTTTATATATTCTAATAGATATATAATTATTTAATTTATACAAAATAACATGTTATGCAATCTGTGTCTTATTTGCGAATCCGGTTAAAGTTGTCTTCTTTTATAATTATAGAGGTTATAAAATTCCTTGACTAACGTTTTCCAAATAACCTGATACAGTCTCGCTATTAAACACTAATAATAGAATAATACGTACTTATACTTGTTAATTCTCTAGGAAAGACGATGCTTTCATGAAACAATGTTAAAATTCATGTTTATAAGTGATAATTAAGAACTGATAACCATCTTTTTGAAGTATGGCTACTTAGTTCACGATCGCACTTAAAATTTCTTAAAATTCTTGCATTTTTTACTACAAATGTCACAACAATGGTCATTTTACTAAGTATTTTACAAGGTTTTTTTTTATTTTATACATCTAAGCTCGTATAATAATAGATATTTAAAACATTAATTAGAACACTCCGAGAAGAAAAAATACGACGTTTTAGTACAATTTTGGGTATATATTTTGGCGGGAGTTAAGTTTCTCACTTTCGTACTGCATAACATACAGTTACGTAATAAAATAAAATTTATTTCCTTAAAAATTTTTAGTGCTTTAAGACAATGTGCTATTGTCAAAATATAACTGTATTTTCTATTTTTAACGCTATTTATTAAGTCATATGTTATGTATTCGTTTTTGTTTATATAAGTTGCAACAAACATATCGATACGAATATTATGCATAGATTAAAAAACCAGTATGTGTGCGAACTGCGAGACATTGAAACAAATTATTTAAATGATAAAAAACAAAAAGAATCTATTTTATTTTTAATTTATGCAAAGTATAACAACAAATATGTTTGTATATGTATGTATTTATGAATGCATGACGTAGGCATTTATATGTTTTAAGTTTATTAGTAGTTAAATAGTAGTAGTTTAGTATTCATATGTATGTAGAACAGTGTATATGTGGAGTTGTACATACATGTAGTTATTATGTACTTAACATCCTCTCTTTATAATATAGTAGGTATTTAAGAGTGGTAGAGCCCGCTTTAACAATTTCGCACGAATTGGCCCAGCTCGCCCGGTGCAATACCACGACCATACAGAAGACAGGCGTCAAGTGGAAGCATCTGCGTTTCCGCTGACGAGTGTGCGTCCCGGAGGCCTAATTTAGTCCTCTTTCCCTTCTCACCCTTTTTGTTATAAGAAAAGGATGGGATATATTTTCTTTTTGCGCATCCTCTCCTCCGTCTATTAAAGGTAGGCAACGAATATGCAATTGTGTATGTCTATGGGCAACGGTCACTTTGCTATTTCAGTGATTTCAGGTGACCACTCACTGGTTTGCCACCTTATGTTAAAAAAGTCAGCTCTACATAAGTGAACTCAGAGAGTGAAGCTCACCAGTTCACCGCTTTTTCATTGTAAATGTATTTGTCAAATTGTATTTTGTGTAATTTAAATAAAATAATATATTATGAATGCACCTGATTCAAATATTAAAATAAAACTTGTTTTACATATGTTTTTCAGTCACGAGGAAACTTTGCGCTCGAAATCGTAAACAATTTTTGTGACACCGTCATGATATGTATTATGTTATTTTATGTGTTTTTTTTTTTTGGAAAATGAGACTGCTGATAATATTGATGTTGTACAAGTGTTCGAAATTCAAATGTCAACGAAATGTTAAAATATAAAATATAATGTTAAAATAACGTTAAAAGGGAGAAGAGGAGCATCTACCTATTTTTAATGAATAAAAAAACTCTGATTATATTAAAACCACTAGTATTAAACCACAGATATCATACATCTTTACCTAGCTAGATTGTTATTGAATCTTATTAAATGATCTTAAGTAAAGTTTCGTGTTTTACACTGATATAAGAATCGTTACAGTTCGTCCGTACTGAACAAGAGTTTGTCCTCGAACCGACGCAATAAGGAAGTTGATAATATACGCCAGCGTTTTTAAAATCAAATATATACAACCCGTCCCTCTTATACCCGTCGTTTTCCACTATGGAAATATTAATTTAAAAATATGCTCGTCTCTCTTATTCTATATAAAAACAAATGAGATAACAATATGTATGAATTTGGATGTTTCAACAAGGGAATCCCGCAGTATTGGAACTATGCTAAATGTCACATGGAATAAAATGACGTTCACGCAAGTTCATAAAAAATATAAAATTTTCTTGTTTTCTTATCCACGCTGTGTTTGTCACCTGTGCTTTTTTAACCAAAGTTTTGTGCCTTAACCCTTATTATGGCAAGATTTCTTTTTTGAACAAAAGCAAAAAGTGATCGTATATTTTTATAACATATTATATGTATGATATAAAATGTCTTGAGTTCTGAGCATGTGTTTCCATATTTTATTTTTACGGTTTTAGTTTTAACACCCAGGGCGAGATTTCTACGGTGCTCTATCTTTTACCACGCCTTTGGCGTTTGGCATGGTTAACAGGGTTATATGAATCTGCGCAAACCTGCGGCACCGCTTTGGTGCGCAGGGTGGTCGCCTAGTCCCTGCCCTAACGCCGGCTCAGAGTTCATGAGATTATAAAGAGACTTTGTGGTAATTTTTTTCTTTCAATTGGTGAAGTTATTGTTGATATTTGATCAATAACGATGATTTGACCGCTCAACGATTTGGCTTTTGTGTGTTTTATTTTTTATTTTTAGGTCAATGATGATCTTGCAACCAACACTATAATGCTTATTTAATAATTCCAACAAGTTGTTAGCATTTGTTTCTCGTCGATTAAGCATTATCTTGCGACCGCGAACATTTTTGCTTACCTGTACATATTAATAAAATTGGATTGTCTGTATGTTATATCGAAAAAAATATGTAGACATGATGCATTTGCGTATCTGAAATAAAAAACTTTAGTCTGTCTATCCGCATGTCCGTGTTCGTTCACGATAATGTATGGGACGGCTGGATTGATTATGACGGGAAGATAGTGGTGCGAGGGCGGCCGCTAGTCAGTTATAAAGATATCTCTCGCAAATATATTGTCATATCCCTAATTTTTTCTTAGAAAATAGATATCACAACATGTTTCAATACAAATTTTACGGCCCTGGAATTACGTTTAAATAGTGATTTATTAAACATATTCTGTTAACACTGCAATTGTCATTGTCGCTTCCCTGACCTTTGGCTCCGCGCAAGTTAATTATTGAATATTTTAGTCTATTAAATATTCTGAATACATGCATTAATTTTAATTTGTTGTTCCGTTCAAGTTTATATCACAGAATAATCGAAACAGATGCCCAAAATGTCTCACGGTACGCGTTATTTGTGGCCATCGATTATTTTTGAGGAGATTGCATTCAAATTTTAGAAATGACAAATGTAGAGTATTATAAGTAGTTTCGTAATCGGATGATAGAAAATGAAAAAAAAATTACCTATTAATCTTATTAATATTATAAATGCGAATGTTTAGATGGATGAATGGATGTTTGTTAAAAGGTATTTCTAGAACGGCTGCATGGATCTTGTTCAAATTTGGCACAGATGTAGATTATAATCTGGAATAACCCATAGACTACTTGAGTTTTTCTTTTTAATTCCGCGTGGACGGAGTCGCTGGCGGCAACTAGTTACAAAATAAAGTGACATTCGTAAATACTTTTCGACACATTTTTAAGTAATATAAATTATGAATAGATTAATATAATTACAATTACAGATTAATATATTATAATTATGAAATGCATTATGGAACGACTAGACAAATGCAAGCAACCAACTTAATGTCATTTATTTATACACCAAGGCTTATGAACTCGATTCTCGATTGTACTAGAGCTTCGATTGTATATGAAATTTAGTTTTATTTGTAACGAATTGACGTACCTTTGTGATAACACGTGGGTGACACCAATGGTAATTTGATTAGGCAAATTTTAAAGTGTAAAATGTCGTTTCATATTTGGGCAATATTTAAATCCACCTTATTGTCATTTATCATCAATAGGTACCAATGCAGCTCCAGACTTGCCTCGAGAAAATGACGTCATATTGTAAATGATATCGTTCAATATTTAATTTGCCCAGTCTATATGATTTGCTTAGGTATACTACAAACAGTCGGCATTCGTAATTTGACGGTGATATACCCAGA